CAGCTAAGGGTGAAGATGTAAAGGATCATTTTTCCCCTGCACATTGGGATCCAAGCCACACTGCAGACAGGAAGTCTCTGGAAAGATATAGAGAGTGGGTAGTGAAGGGAATGGAAAGAGTTGTTTCCCAAACCATTAACTGGTCAGTCTTGTATACCGTAAGACCAAGGGAACCGAGGGAAACCCCACTGAGTTTCTTGGTAAGTTAAGGGACACTATGAGGAGGCATACACCCTTAGACCCAGGATCAGAAAATGGCATTCAGCAGTTCATTTCACTCTTTATAGAGTAATCAGCAGGCAATATCAGACGAAAGCTTCAGAAGTAAATTTACCAGAGAGCAGAAATTTGGAAAGTTTGCTGGACGAGGCATGGAGAATATATAGCAGTCAAGGAGGATAGGAGAATGGATATGAAAGTGTTGATGGCAGCTCTTCAAAGAACTAGGGAAATGAGGTTTGAGAGGCCCCAGAGGCCCCCTAGAGATGTGCGTTATGTAGAAGGAAGGGACACTGGAAGAATGAATGCCCCTTTAGGGGTTGGGAAGGGAAGGGAGCTTGGAATAAAATCCAGGCCCCAGTAGAAAGGAGTTGACTGGGACCTGGAGAATCTATCCTAGCAGATCCACTGGTTAAAATTAAGCTAGGGAAAGAACTGCGACATAGTGTGGGATTTTAAGTGGACACTGGAACAACTTATTCAGTGTTAAATATTTCTCTACCTCCAGTAAGTGATGAATTTGTAACTGTAGGGGGAGCCACTAGGCAAACTGAAAAGGCTTATTCTCTTCACCTTAGAGTTTCCAGACACAACAAAGCCTGTCTAGTTGTCTTCGCACAAGAAGCAGGGAATAGATTTGGGAGTTCTAGCCCAAAGCCTGGGGACCTATCAAAGGGCTGTAGCATATTTCCCCAAACAGCTGGATAAAGTAAACTGAGGGTGGCCTAGCTGCTTAAGAACAGTGGCTGCAGTTGTGCTGAATATTCAAGAAGAATGTAAATTCACACTGAGCCAAAGAATTACAGTATTAAGTAAAAGGAGGGTATTGGCTCTCACCACAGAGGTTCCCCAAGTATCAGGCAATCCTAGTGGAGCAGGATGATGTAGAAATTGTGGTGACTAATGCTGTCAATCCAGTATCTTTCCACAGCAGAATCTCAGGAAAACTGATGTCGTGTGACTGCCTGGAGACTATTGAGGCAGTGTATTCCAGACAACCAGACTTGAAGGAGGAATTGCTGGAGGATGCTGAAGACTCCTGGTACACTGATGGTAGTAACTTTGTGTGCAAAGCTGGTTACACCATGATGACTGCTAGCAAGGTAATAGAGTCAAAAGCTCTTTCTCCAAACACATCTGTGCAAAACGCAGAAATTATAGAATTAGAATTGGCAAAAGGAAAAAGAATTAACATATGGACTGATTCAAAATATGCTTTCAGTGTTGTACATGCCCATGGAGCAATATGAAAAGAGAGAGGACTTTTACCAACTCAAGGAAAAGGTATCAAACATGCCAAGGAGAGGGAGAGTCTTAGGCTCTTGGAAGCACAACTACCAGAGAAGGTGGCCATCATGCATTACAAGGCGCACCAAAGGGGAGAGTCACCAAATGAGGTGGGTAATGCCTTGGCAGACCAGGAAGCAAAGAGGGCAGCAAAGGAGGATCCACTGGAAGTGCATCCTCTGATTCTAGATGGTAAAATTCAAATTGATGGTGAGCCAAATTATTTCAGGGAGGATGAAAAACTAACTGAAGATTTAGAAGGGCAAATAGGAGAAGAAAGATGTGCAATTACTCCTGAGGGTAAAATAATAGTTCCCTCAGCCCCAGTTGTAGTCTGTGGTGATGGCTGAACACAGGAAAACACACTGGGGAGTAGAAGCCCTGTATAAATATTTAAACCAAAGGATCACAGCTTGTAATTTATATACCACTGTCACACAGGTAATTCAAAGTTGTGCAATTCGTCTGCAAACAATCCAAGAATAGGTTCTAAAGTGTGTATGGGACAGATAGGAAAAGGAAATCATCCCGGGCAACAATGGCAAATTGATTTCTTGCAACTACGAAGAAAAGGGTGATATATGTTTGTATTAAAAGACACCTTTTCAGGTTGGCCAGAGGCTTTCTCTTGTAGGACCAGCAAAGCATGGGAAGTAACTAAAGTATTGTTACAGGAGATAATTCCAAGATTTGGGGCTCCAGCAACTATTTTCTCTGATCAAGGGCCTCACTTTGCAGCTAAGGTAGTAGCACAAGTAAGCCAACTATTAGGGATTACTGGCATTTACATACTCCCTATCAGCCACAGTCAAGTGGTCAAGTAGAGAAAATGAATCATCTGATCAAATTGCAAATTGTTAAATTAGGGCAGGAGGCCAGGGCGACTTGGCCCTAAGAATTACCATTGGTTTTACCAAGAATAAGAACTAAACCTCGAGTGAAGGAAGGACTAAGCCCATTCAAAATATTATATGGTAGGCCATATATGATTCAAATCAAGTAGGTGAAGAGACCTTGGCAGCATATATAATAGGCCTGCAATGGCAGTTAAAAGAAATAGGAAAATCGTTTTTGGGCGTAAGGACAAGAGGATTGGATGGACCTATTCATAATGTTAAACCTGGAGATTATATTATATGTCAAATCCCTCTCAGATTCACTGCTTTCCCAAGTGGGAAGATTTTTTTTGGTGATATTAACATTATACACCGCAGTCAAGGTGAAATTCAAGTGTCGTGGATTCATCATCCTCAAGTCAAGAAGATGACAAAACCACTGAGGACTGTCGAAGAGAAGGAACCTCTTAAGCTTAAACTTTAGAAGGCAACATGTATATACTAATTTTTGTAAGTAGTGTTTGTATAGGACTTGCTTCAGCCTGGTGGGATAATTTTCTTAAACAAGTGACAGAAAATCTCACTCAGGCCCTGAATATTTCCAATTGTTGGGTATGCACAGCCTTGCCAAGGAATGGATGGATGCAATTCCCTCCATAAGGGATTCCATGTACAATTGGACAATATGGGGCAGGGCAGGAGGTAGATAATACCTCTTTTGGCTATACAGAGCTATGGGATAATTAACTAGTTGGTTGCCAAATTTTGCCTGGGTGAAGCAACTCTTTGTAGTATTTATTAGTTTAGTTTTCCTTAGGATATTTGTATGCTGTATGCTATGCTGTTTTATGTGGATATGTAAACAAACAGGTGATGGCTATGAGACATGGAAAAAGCACAAACTGAGACAGAAAATGGAGCATAATTCTGAAAATCATTAGATAATAACAGAATAATTTGGCAAAAGAATTTGCTAGGACATAGAAAAAGGGGGAATTGAATAAAAGGCTAATCAATTGTTAAAATTGTAAGAGTAGTTTGTGTAAGAGCATGAACAATGGAAACGATATGGGGTCACTAGGTAGGGGTGGAGTTTGGGGCATAGAATAGGTGTGGAATATTGTAATGAATTTCTAGAATTAATTGTAATAACCATTCCTTGTGCCATGAATATGCATGTATTCCCTCTATAAAAAGAGATGTTTACCTGCCTTCAGTGTGCAGGCTAGGATGGAGTTATCCCCCTGCACCTGGTCTGCCAAATAAAACATACCTGCTCTTCAACTATTTTGTGGTTATAGAGTTTGTTCCACAAGTCAGCAGATGAAATAAAAATTTCTTTATAAATTCAGACTGAACTCACTGAAGCATTCTGTTATCAGAGAGGGAAACTGTCAATGTTAGACTTTTTTTTTTTTTTTTTTTCCCAGAGGCTTCTGCTGTTGTGCATCATAGAAGTCAAATAAATTGATACTAATGGAGAATTTGGCTTCTTCTGATATTTTATTACTGACAGCTCCTAGCAGCAGATTTGGACTTTGACTGCTCTTTCTGACAGACTGTTGCATCCAGAAATTTTCCAGCCTCCCTATTAATAACACTGATACTCAATATGGGCTATTTTGTACATACAGCTCTCCCTGGAAATGTAGACTGTACTGTAAGGGAGATGAAATGGCCAGCTGCTCTGCATTAGCAGGGACGCATGAAAATGAGAGAGGCTGGGAGGCACAAGCAAGTCATCTCCCAGGTCTGTCTTATGCCACTCTTTCCCAGGAACATGATCTACAGTAATATCAGTGCTGGCTTTGAGGACATGCAGCCAGAGCCCTGAGTGGGTGGAGAGTTGACAAAAGTCACTGCCTGCACTCAGTTTCTATTTCTCCTTAGCATTTAGTTCCTCCTTTCTCCCAGGAAAACAGAGACATTTCTAAGTTGTTTCATATCATATTCCTGCCCTGAGTTTCCAGTCAGAAGAGAGACGATAGGCAATTAGCCGTAAGATGTGAATTTCTACACAGCTACCTACAAGCACTCCATAAATGTAAAGAATTACCAGTGTTAAATTAGCTTTTTACTGGATAATTACTTCCTCTAATTACAAGAGGAGTTCCATTGGCAATAAGCATCAGTGAGGTACTATGTCTTCGGTAGTGATCAGGCTACTCTCTGGTTCTCAAATAATCATGCAGCTAAATGAGACTGGATTTCTTTCGTTTGGAAATTACATAATGCTTGGCATGGCTGTCTTTCATGTCCACTTAGGTCCATAGTGATGAGATTAGTATGCAGTAAGTCTCGAGCTGACAGTTTGATGATGTCTCTAAATTACTATGAGCGATAAACACTAATAATTAGTCTATTATTTCATAATGTAAAAATTTGAAAAATTTCCCTCATTCATTCTTCTTGAACTATCTTCAAGTCCATCATGTCCACGTTTCTCATCAAATCAATAAAAATCTGTCATGGTTTTATGGCTCTTGTTATCAGTATTCCACATCATAACATCATGTAAAGCACAGGGAATTGAAGTTAATACTCCAGCTCTGTGGACTGACCGCTTTCAGGATACCTGGTTCTCAGAAGAGAAGAACTACATATCCCAGGGGACTTCACATTCAGAGAGGAAGATAGGTCACAGGAGGAAGTCACGGCACTTGCTTGCTCGCTTGCTCGCTGCCTAGCAGTGTGTGGGTGTGCTCTCCAGCCGTACATCTTCAGTTCAAAGTAAGGTTTTCGGTTTTGGACACTCTCTCTCTAATATTAATTGGAATTAAGGCTTATAAATCAAATAAAATAAGAGGGCAGTTGATTCGAACTGGACAAAGGGATGTCCCATAGCACTGATATCTCCTAATATCAGGTATATCTCCTATATCTCCCTACAGGAAGCTGTCTAGGGGGATGCTTTTACTCAGAGACTGTCTGGGCATCAGTCAGAGGATAGCGAACATATTTAACATGGATCACTTGTTTCATATTTCTTATCATTCAGTCCTGCAGAGAAGGACTTGAGGGTTCAGGTGGACAAAAAGCTGGACATGAGCCAGCAATATACTCTTGCCAACAGTATCCTGGGCTACATCAAGAGAGGGATGGCCAGTAGAAAAAGGGAGGTGGCTGTTCCCCTCTGCTCTGCCTTCATGAGGTCCCATCTGGAGTACTGCATCCAAGCCTGGGGACCTCAATACAAGAAAGAGACAGAACGGTTGAAGTGGATCAAGAAGGACACAAGGATGATCAAAGGTCTGCAGCACCTTTCCTATGAAAAACTTTTGAGACACCTGGACTTGCTTAGCCTGGAGAAGACTTTGAGGGAACCTCATTGAAGCTTTCCAGCACTTGAAGGGAGCTTATTAAGCAGGAAGGGAAACAATTTTTATACAGTCCAATAGTGATAGGACAAGGATGAACGGCTTTAAAGTAAAAAAGGGGAAATACAGGTGTGGGGAAGAAAATTTTCACCCAGAGGGTGATAAGGCACTGGAACAGGCTACCCAGGTATGCTGTGGATGCCCTATCTCTGGAGATGTTCAAGGCCAGGTTGGATAGGACCACTGGCAAACTGGTCTAGGAGGAGGCAGCTCTTCCCATGGTTGGAACTGGCTGGGCTTTAAGGTCCCTTCTAATCCAAGTCATTCTATGATTCTGTGATTCTGTGATTATCATCAATATTATTTTCCCCTCCTTTTCAGTATTATGAAATTGGCTTTATCTCAACCCATGAGTTTTACCTTTTTCTGATTCCTTCTCCAATCTCACAATACGGTATGAGCAAACAGCCGTGCAGTTTGTTCACTGTACAACTGTGCAGCTGCCTGCCAGGTTAAACCACAGCATTAACAGACACCACAAAACATGCCTAATGCACGCAGAGGAGATTAATTAATTTACAGAGTACATGCAACAGTGGGCTAAAATAAGCTCTAGGAGAAAACAACTGTCCTATCTGTGAGAGCTACCTTCTGGGTGCCAGATAGTGCATTAAAAGTAGAGCTTTCCAAACTAAGAGTAGTGACCACAGCAGCATTTGTGGCACATAGCTGTGGAGGAATAAATCAAATGAAGATAAACTTCCAAAACTGAGAATCATTAAAGAAGTCATAAATCAGGAGGTGAAACTGGAAGGTCATTTTTGCGAACATAGAATTTAGGTGAAATTGACTTTTTACTTAGTTCTCCTTTATAGGCACTATATGCAATTATTTACTAAGAACTCACTGAAATCATACAGGAACACAACAGAATGTTGCTTTAGAGCAACCACTTATCACTTGCTTACCACTTACCTGGCACCTTGCTGGTTATTTTATAAAGATATAGCTATCATGACATGTACAGTGATACTCTGAACAGGAGTCTTTCCCTGTACATGAGAAACACTGATAAACACACAAGTCATCTCTGCAGAGATATTTTGACTAAAGCTTGTTCTAAATCTGTTCCATTTGCTTGCCACAGACAGCCCTCTCCATTCACTTCATCCATTTTCCTATCTTTCAGAGTTAGTAAAAGTTCATTTATTTGTGTTTAACAGCAGCTGTTTTTACTCATTATGACTTATTCTAAACAACGGTATTCTTGTTCTAAGTAACAGAGTACTAGCATGCAGATATCTTTCTTTTCAAATATTTTGGAAGATACTATTCTTAACTGATCTTCCTATTCATGTTAAAAAGTAAAGAAATAAAAGAAGACAGAAGCTAGCTGTTCTTTACTAACAAAAAGCTATGTTATGTGCTTGTTTTCACAACTATACTAAAAGAAGTAGCTAGTACAAAATTTAATATATATGCTTACTTTACAGCTAAATTGACTGTGTGATAACCCGTAATGTTAGCTCAATTTTAAATTGTCCAGAGACATTTATATGAATGTGTGTAATCAACGGAACATACAAAGTTACATAATTAATGGAAAATGTTTCCACAGTTCAATGAAAGTAATTATAGCACCTGCGTTATTGAATTACGTAAATTAGAGTTCTCTCATCTTAGTCACTGTCCTTCCCTAACAACAAGTATGCAAAAATGTCTTTGTTATTTGAAAAATCATTTTTGAATTGTTAGGAACTTCATATTCAGAGCATACATTTATTAGCAGTATTTTATTTTTAGTGCAAGAAAATATTATCTTTTGTTCCTTTATTTCAAACTCTTTCCTTGAACATTTATATATAGAAATCTAACCGAGGACATTATTTTGGAAATCTATATGGAACTGTAACCTATATGTCAAAACGTGTATCCAATTGTATTAAACATTATGACCATGGATGCCAGTTCCTAACCCTAGCTAACATGGCTCAGCCTCAGGCTCATCAGTCAGGCTTGTATTCATCCAACTGCAATGAAACAGATATCACAGCTCTGACTTGGCATCACATTTAAATAAGTTCAGCTATACAGAAGCTAGACATCTAGCCTAAATTGCCTCCATAGTCTACAGAGAGAAAGAGAGAGAAAAAGCCAAAAGAAGAGGTACAGAATTACAAAAATTCTAGTGGCAGGAAGTGACCTCTAGAGATCCCCAAGTCCAACCCCCTGCTAAAGCAGGGTCCCTACAGATTACATAGGGAAGAAGCATCCAGGTGAGTGATGATCTCCAGAGAAGGAGACTCCACAGCATCTCTGGACAGCTTGTTCCAGTGCTCTGTCACTGGACCACTCTTAAAGACTTTTCTTGTGTTTGTATGAAACATCCTGTGTTTTAGTTTCCTTCTTGCTACTTTGCTATAAAATTAATATTCTTTCAGCAAAGAGTATTACTTTGTCCTTTACTTTGTCCTTTTTTGGAGTCTGGATATCCAAGCAGTACTAAACACATACACTATTCCAGATCATGAAATATATGTGAAATTAGACCTTTGTTTGAATTGTGTATTAACATGTATGCAGGGTGTGAACTGTACAATGTAAATTTGCATCCTAACACATCAAACTAGTCTTCTTGAGTAAGCTGCCTCCAAGCTCAACACACTCAGTCAGACAGCTAGACTGAATCTGCCCTTCACATGGTCACGGTACACCATTTCAATTCATAACACTAAGAAATACATTATATGAATTTTTACACTTTGCATTCAATGGAATTCACATTTGTACATAACAGGGACTAAATATGCGAGGAAAATGAACATTTCATGAATTCATACCAAATGGGTCACCAGACTATTGTTTTGTAATCTTCAACTATGTTCAGCATCTCCTAATGACTTACCCATGGCTTTTGTGAAACGAGGGGTTGTTTTCAGTATGAGTGTCAACTAGCAGGTGTCTACCGCATATTACTTTTTGTCATGTCAAGTATCACCAGTGCCCCAAGAACGTCCAAGAAGTTAACATCATTTGGATATAGGGTAAACTATCTATTTCATTCCAAAGCAAGCTGGTTCTTATATTCTCTTTTCAAAATATTATTGAAAATGTGTGGTACTCATAGCAGAATCATAATTGGTCAAACAAACTATGCATAAATTGCTGTATTTGGACAACTAAACTGAGCTACTGAGAAGGAACCAATGCAAAACATGTCAGTGTTGCCACAGTGCTGAGGGAGTCTAAACACCAAAATGTGAGAGCAGCCAGCAAAGGTTGTGCTAGCTTACTGAAGAAAGCAAACTCACCGGAGACCATCTGAGCCAAAGAGTCTCACAGTGTAAGATTACCCTTGAAATCTTTTGCAATACTTGCACATTCTCCCAGAAAACTGGTTAGCCAAACTCTTCAGCTCCCTTTTTTTCTATACAGATTTAGAAAGATCCTAGCACAGAAACTTTTTATGAAAATCACCAGTAAATATGAATTTAAACTTCAAATTTGTGTTTGTTAGGCAAAATGAAAGCACTAAATGATATTGTGAATAATGCTAGGCAAAAGCTTAACTGTTGAGAATTTGTACAGATTTCAAAATTACATTCTTTAAAAAAATGATATTAAGGACACCAGAATAAATACTGTATGATGATAATGGAAGAAAACCACAAATCGCGTAATGCTACCAGTGCAGTGTGGCTGAGATCTTTTCAAGTTACTTTCCCGGGCAACGGCCTGACAGACTAAGACCACAGGATTGGGAATGACTAATCCCATAGGCAAGAAAGTCTCACAAAAAATTTTTTCTACAGAAACAAATAAAGCCAGAAAACAGTACAGATTTGAAGAGTCTTTGCAGTGAAATAAAGCCACTGAGCTCTGGAAATCAAATTCTGCTGAGAATTTGCTCTAGAAGACTGAAAGATGCACTATACTAAAGACAATCTCAATGTCTTTCAAGCACGCATCACATCTGTGATGAGATCCTTGAAAAGTAGCATTGTGCCCTTGGGATGAATCTATACTAGTATGTTTGAGCAACTGATATCAGCTTCTAATATCTAACTTTGGTTTTCTTAGTCTGCCTAGAGTCTCCATAACACTTGCAAACTAAGGTTTTCACAAGTTAAATGAAGGTATGCATGTGGCCTTAATACACTTCATTTTGTTTACACTTTACAGTACATGTCCACTAACTGTACAAACACAAACTAATTTTTCCACAAGAGCCCTGCTTCCACCAGCTTCTAAGAAAATTGGCAATTACTTACTGAGTAGCTTGTCAGTATTGCATTTTCTTTCAGTGCTCTTCAACAAAGTGTGCTGCACAGTAAGCCAGAGTTGAAGCTGAGCACTGCATTCTCTGAAGGCTCTCAACCGCTTCCTGTACATGAAGGAGAAAAGGAGGAAAGAAAAAGGGCTTTCAGTGGAACCCATCTGAATCACTGCCAGAGCAAGCATGTCCCTCTCATGCCGTGTGCCAGGGATCCTAGATGGGCCATACAATATCAAGAAATATGCAGTCAAGTAGGATGACTTCATACTTTATACATGATACATACATACATATAAATTCTATCATTTCTTGTCACATTTTGTTTCACAGTCACAAGACTGAGGATACGCTTTATAAACCCCAGGTGTCATACACCCCTATGGTGCTATATAAACAATAATAAGCAGAAAAAAAATGTCAAACTTATTTTGTCGGCTCATGTTACCATCTTTTGAAGGATTTCTGAATGAAATGCTACAGCATTTAGCACACTAAAGACAGAATTGATGTTCTCTCATAGCTTTTTTATGTACTTCATTGTATTGAATACAAAATAAATTATTTGTTGCAGGTGGTTTTAATGCAGCACATGGTGTTACAAAGGATATAAAATTTCAAAAGTAATGACATGACATGTATTAATGCAATGCAGTCATTTTAAAAAACATACTATTCTTTCACTGACAATCCCTTTACTAAAAAAATAAAATAAAATTAAGTCCATTGCTGTGTCTTAAAAGACTTACAGATATGACACACTAAGTATCTATTACTGGTGTCTGGAGAGAACAGAAACAAGCAGATGATGCTGGGAAGTCCAAATGTCTACATGTGTGTGGATTTAAGAAAGTACATCAGCTATTCCTACAGACATAACTAGCTAGCCTATCACTTCCTTATATTAATATAGATACACACACATGAATATAGAATCATAAGATAATAAGATCACCAAGGTTGGAAAAGATTATCCAGTTCAATCATTCCCTATCACCAATATCTTCCACTGAACCATGTCCCTCAGTACAACACCAAAAAGTTTCTTGAATACCTCCAGGGGCGTTGACTCCAGTACCACCCTAGGCAGTCTGCTCCAGCACCTGGCCACTCTCGAGAAGTATTTCCTTACTCCAATTTGAATTTCCCCTGGGGCAACCAGAGGCCATAAATATGTGCAAACCAGTGCACATCACAGATTTCAAACTATACACTCAGTTCATATGAATGAGCTGAGTTGATGAAAAGTCAAGAAGAGATATTTTAGAACCATATCATAAAATGGGGCACTTAACAGCTTTAAAAATTATTATTAAAAATTATTATTAACACAGCATAATCCTCAAAGTTGACTGAAATTTGTCATTATTAAAAAATAAAAGACAAAAAATAAAAAATAAAAAATGATTACTTCATGCCATAATAATCAAGCAAAAATCTGATGTTTCTCCCACCAATTTTCATGAGGAAGCCTGCACATTTTTTAGGGATCTCCTGAATCCTGATCTCTCACAATTAGCTGCCTGATCTCCTCCTAATATACCTAGGTAGTGGGCTTAGCTACACAAGCTATCTGGGCTGTTACCATTTTGCAGTAGATGGATGCACACTTTAAAAGGTGCATAAGCAAAGCAGGAAAAGTCATTTATCTTTAAATGACATGAAATGAAACGGTATTTAAAAAACTGAGGGAAGAATTACAAAAATACACTTCTATCTTGATTTGGGAAAACCTCTAAATGACAACTGAATAAACATACAGTATCCAGTGAGAATACAGTACCTCTTACAATTGCAAAAGCAATACCACCTCTATAAAATGGAGTCTAAGGACAGCAGATGCAGCACAGATATATCTACAACCTGTAATCCTGCAATCACAATCCTCTTCATCTATCATAATCTGTTTATGAATCTTTCTTGTCTGACTGGTGAGGTTGATAGAAAGAGTAACCGTGAAGCTATGTTTAATTTCTTTGAAAAATTACAAAGTTTAAAAATAATTGAATATAATCTAGGGATTAAGTCATTTAGAAATCAGATACAGATTTTGCTTTGGCAGCCTGGGCTCTGTATTGCTTTAAAACATGCAATATTTGATCCAGAGTAACGAGCCACTTCAGATGCTGAACATGCTGAACATCAGCCCAGCTTTCACGCTGATCCAGAGTGACTCCATAATGCAGATATGAGTATCATTTATTATGTATCTAGAGACATCAGTGGACTTCTGAATTCATCTACCTTCAAACTATTTCTGTCTCCAGTCTGAAAGTCTGTTCCCATCCCTTTATAATGTTAAGATAATAAATATAGCATATAAACATGTTCTTTCATGATCTGGGTTTGAAAAATGTGAAATACAGAAAAGTTTATATGGTCAACACAATCCGAATATAAAGTTTATATGGTCACAATCAAAAATACCCCACCTGATTAAATGGAAGAGGCAAAAAACCCTGGCTCCCTAAGTTCAAATAAGGCAAAATTTCAAACTGTTTGATTTTAATTTTTATGTGTAATGCATTACATTTTTACAAAAGAAAAAAAAAAATTAGCCAAAACAACAACAACAAAACAGAAAAAAACTTCCAACAGCTATTTTATAGTAGTATTCTATTCTTTACTGCTCACATGCTGTTAGAAGTGCCACAGTCACGACACATCAGAAGGGATATTACTCACGAATGATTAAGGTTGCTGGACATAAATAAGTGCTTATCATTCCACCAAGGAGTACTGTTTGCAGTACAGTGCCTGAATATAAATGTTCTAGTCTTCAGTTACTATTTTCGCTTTTTATCTCAAACACCATGTTTACATTAACAAAATAGACAGATATTCTTGTCGTATGAAACTCATTCATTCAGCTTCACAGTAAAGCTTCCTATGATTCACTATGATCATAAGTAGACACAACATACATTACAGGCATTAAAGATAATTCTGACACCATTAACCAAGAGGTCTAGTAGACTTAAAGAAGTCGTTGAATAAAATCAATGTAAATAAATTGAATATGGAACTAACTTGTTTCCTGTTATCTGCTTCCTATGAAATCCCCAGCAGTTTCAGTTCTCAAAAAGTTACAAATATTTTTACATTCACATTTGCATCGATTTTGATAGGAATTCATGCAGGAAAATTCCTCCCATATCCACATTCTGAAGGAAAAACAGAGAAGACAGCCCATACTTAGCTGGCCCATACCATATTTCATTATACATTTTAAAAAAATTTTTTTGCTGGAGCTCTGAAGGCTTTCCAGGAACACGTAGCTCTTTCCCTTCTTGCACAGACCAGCTGGACCAACCTGGGAGCATTAGAGAGAAAAAGCCTATTATGATGCTGATCTAATTATTTTTTATGCCTTTGCATTTTTCAAAAGGTGTGTGTCTTGTTTGAGTTGATACTGATTTAGTTCCAATATACACTACTGAAGACTGTTTTAAAAGCTTTTTCAAAGTGCACTCGTACATATATAAACATAGAGAAAAATATATATAAACATAGAGAAAAAAATCATAAACATAGAGAAAAAAATTTATAAACATAGAGAAAAACATAGAGGAAAACAAGACCCTACCAGTTTGGGGTTTTTTTTTGTTGTTGTTGTTTTTGTGCATGTGTGTGTGTCTTTCCTACATCGTGCATCAAATAAAGTGCAGAAAAGCAACCTAAAACTTCAGGAGTTATAACCTCTGATTATATTATGACATCACTGTGCTTTTTGGCACAGCACCTGACAGACATTCGTAAAGCTGTTGGAAAGGCAGCTTATTTTTGTTAAAATTC